AAAAATGAAGATAAAGGTGAAATATTGTCATATTTCCCCCTCATATCCTTAAGAAGGATTTTTTTTTTTAAAAAAGAATTTTACTTACTCATACATTACCTGTAAGGATACAGATATAAAATTTTACTTAGACCTGATGCGCAGACAGAAGAAAGAAAAAGCCATATAAATAGAATGGATGAAACTGTTTTTAGAAAAACAGTTATAGCAAAACAATGTGAAGAATTGTGAACTAAATCTGTAAAACATATAAGTTATAACCTAAAGGAATATTGGTACAAATGTTCTACAGATTTTTGCAACTCTATAAATATTTAAGATAATAACAAATGTTGGAGGTGCCATGAAAGAGAAGGAACATTTTATCACACATGGAAAGGTAAATATAGTACAAGGCAGAATATTTTGGAATTAAAATTTGAAATGAAACCATAACTTTTCTTACTAGGTATAGTCTCAGAAAAAATAAACAAGAAACAAGAAAATTTAACAAGACATTGCATACACTCATACATTCAAGTTTATGGTCACTCACTTGATCAACAGCTACACTCAAATCAATTTTGTATTAAAAAAATCAAATATTTGTATCAATATCAATAAATAAAAGTCAATAATCTATATCAATAAATTGTAATTAATATTGATACAATATTTCTTTCCCTTTTCTTTATTTCCAAAACTCCAGGTTATCTAAACAACACAATATTAATACTGTACAAATATTTTATTGAAATAATGGAATATTGGAAGAGTTCTGTGAATTCTTGCGATTTCAAGCTCGTTAGCTGATCCTATATCTGTGGTTAGCTATCAGTTTCCAGATCTACAGTATGTGCAGATGGGTTCTATTGATATTAATCATGATATTCATGATATGAATATTCATGATATGTGCACAACAGAAAATACAGTCAACGAGATTTTTTTTCTTAATCTTCAAACAGGTAGTATTCCAGTGCCAACATATTTTATTTACTGTCGTGCACATTTTTATTTATTGCAGTACCATTTCCAACATAATCAGCTAAAGGTCTATAAAGATTTTATATACATGACATTTTCCTATCCAAGCATAGCATATAAGGAGGAAGAGACTGGAAATGAATTTTTAAAAGCTGGCTTTTAAAGACACTCTCCCTGCTGTAATGGAGAAAGTTAATTTCTCAATGCAAACAGAAGACTGCACTTTCTTCCAGCTACCAAATAGTTTTGAAAGTTTTCGTTCTGTATACTAATAGACTCTTTGATGGTCAATTGAAGCTTACTTGTTCCTCAACATTTTGATTATGAGGTTTATTTCTATGCTTCAAACAGCAACAAAAAAGGAAGTTGAAGTTCTGTCTCCACTCTGATAATTCTGATCAATAGCTTTTTCCTATTAATAGTAAGAAAACTATATTATTGATTGTATAGAAAGAACTACAGTGGAAGGGTCGGTAATTAAATTCTCTCCTGTCCAATGACTTTGAGCAGGGTAATTATTTATATACTGTGAAAGAGCAAACTATTGCTCATTCTGCCATCTGGATAGGCAATAGGAAGCACTGGGTCAAAGGAGGACTAGTAATTCTTACAAAAGAGTAGACACATGAATCCATCAAATGCATATTCAAGGGAATAAAATTCGCAAGGGAAGAAGGAACAACAATATGATACCCTTATCAGCGGAGGCAATGATGGCAAATTAGAAACATAAGTCTATTATAAAAGCATCCACACCAACCAAGTGCTCACTACCAAAGTAACAACCCAAATTCCCACAAGAGAAGCTCTGCAAGAACATTATTTAGGTGAGTATAAACACACTGCAGTAACCCTGAACATCAGAAAAATAATCATCTATATATCTTCCAACAAAATGGATACTCACACCTCTTTATTAAAAGTGCCTGGCCATTAACACACTACTGCACAACCAACCCAAGCTGTTAAAAGGATAATATTGCCATACATCAAAAACATCTCAGAAAGCACCAACAGACTATTATAACTGCATATCATTAATATAGCACACATACCAACAAAGCCCTGAAAAACATCTTAAGTGAACCAAAAGACCCAGTAGCCTAGAACAAAAAACAAGAATCATCTACAATCTACAGTATAAAGACTTTGACAACCACTATGTAGGACAGACTGGCAGAAATTAGCAGAGCGCATCCATGAACAGCAACTACCAGTAGCAATCAGAAGAGATGATGAAAACACTGTAATTTCATGACACATGGACAGACTTAACCATAGTTTCAACTGAGAAACTGGGAGCAACCTAGACTAAGCCACTCAGACCAAACCATTCAGATGGCACTTGGACAAATTTACCCTCAAATGGCCACATAGGGATAAATAACATCTACATACCATTCAAAAGAGACAGTCAAAAAGCTAATAAGGAAACTAAGACACCATTACATCCCCTCACCAGCAATGAACACCCAGATAAGCAGAGTAACACCAATATTAATATTAGATTAATAATCAAACAGTAAACAATACCCCAATTAAGGGACTACCAACTCAGACAAACAATTAAACAGTAAACAACAGCCCACTCTGGGCTGTTCAGGGAACTACCCAGACCATTCCCACCAAAACAGATAGGGCAATCCATCTGTATATAAACAGAGTAAATCCTACTCTCTTCTAGCACTGATGATGTTGCCTAGTTGGGTAATGAAATGTCTGCAAGGAAACAACCAAACTCAGAAAGCACAAAGGACTCCATATCTTACAAAAGAAAATAAAAAAATATCTTAATATTATGAATGGATAGTTCCTGGTCCTAGAAATAAATGTGGCCCTCGGCCTAATTTCAAAAGGCCTCTGCAATACCACTTCAAACTCTGATAAGAGCTACCTCAACCTCTCCCAGATTTTTTTATTGTTTAAAAGGGGAGGGGGGAATACCACTTACACTTTGTTTCTCTTCTTTTACCATATGAACCCAACAAATAACCCCCTGAAAGAATGAAGTCTTTAGTAATTACAATAACGATCTGATTTAGACAATTGCTAGCTATCAAGTTAGTAGAAACAAGTTAGCAGACACACACCTCACCTTTGCATTGTAAGGAATATAGTGCTTTGATAAAGCTTCTGGAGTGTGCATCCATGTCTTATCTGCAAAAGGAAAAAATACACGAAATTAAGACTTAGTTACTAGACACGTACACAAGGAAAACACATACAATAGATATTTGCATCTATATATACCAAAGCACAAAATATACCTATTACGTATTATACACCTATAAACACCTACCCTCACAGAAAGTTCCCAGATATTTCCAAAGACTCTTCAGTCTTCAATCTCCGTCTATGCGTCATAATATCTAATTCCTGAAATGAGTATTCAATTGCTTGATATTTATTTAAAAGAGGTTAGTAGAGGTTAGCAAAGGTCATGCCCAAGCTCTGGAGACTTTATATACTTTTCTATCTAAAGGTATATATACCAACCTTTCATTTCCTGTATCCAACTAATACTCTTTGGATCCTAACTGACAAGTTAGATAAGAAAGAATTTGTTACTATGAGAAGGAAAGGAGGTAGATGGGGTTTATTGCTTCTCCATATGTCCAGTATCACTGATTGACTCTTGTCCTTGTCCAATCAGAATTCTGCCGAATGCTTACTGTCTTCTTATGACCAAGAAAGACAAAAATTTCTAAACAACAGAGTTCTGGTTGGCGCTACAGGGATACAGACGGGGAATTAGCGGGCTCTTCGGAGCCCTGAGAAAACCCCGTCTGCCAAGCCCCCACAGGTAGGTCCTTGGACCTATCCTGTCCTGTAGGGACAGGGGGATAGAGAGAGACCCCTCAGACGGCTGAGAGGAACAGAGGTTTACCCTCTGCACCGGTGGCGGTGGAGCAGCGGCCATGGCGGCTGCCCTGAGACCGCGGCAACCGAGATATAAGAATGTGCAGGAGGAGAGGTGGAGAAGCGGAGAGCAGAGCCGGGAGTTTGGATGCCGGGTGAGTGGACATTGGCCGAGGCAGAACTGCCCACAAATGCTAATTTACAATTACTTTGCCTCAGCCTTGATAGCGGCTGAGAACTATTGGGGCACAAAGACTAAAGACCCGTTGGTGGATAGCATGAATTGCTGACTTCTTGGAGATGTTTGATTACAGATCTGGATATATTTTTTCTTTTCTTTTTGGTGGATAAATGAGATTGGACTGTGTCTGGGAGAGGAAGGAGAAGAGGAAATAACTATGCCTTTAAAAGCAAAAAAAAAAAAAAAGACAAACAGAGACGGACAAAATGGTTACCAGCTAAAGTGAAAGTATAAATTCCACTTGTTACTTGAAGAGAGAAACTTTGTTGTTTGTTATTTAAACTTAACTATTTTGAGGAAAAGACTTAGAGAACTTGATTTAGGATATATAATCTGTACACTGGAGGATTTATTGAAGAATAGAAAGAAGAAATTAAATGGAACAATGATAATTGAACTAATTAATGTGGCAACAAAAGAAGGGTGTGGCAATAGAAGAAGGACATGATGATACCATATATGGAATTACTTCAGAACTAATTTTGTAGAATTCATAACTTTGATGACATTGAAATGGAAAAGATACATATCTGAATAGACTGGAGAAAAGAATTATGGAATATATCATGTAACAAGACAACAAAATATCATACTTTGATTTAAATGAATGTAATGGTTTCTGGGTGACTGTATAATGTTAGGAGATACCTTTTTTTTCCCTTCTCTATGCTCTCTATTTCTTTCTTTTTGTATCTTTCTCTTTGTTTTTTTCCCCCTCTCTATTTTCTTTTTTAACTCATTTGACTTCTTTCCTTATATTTCTACTCTCTTCCCTTTTCTTTTTCTTTTTTAGTATTGTTTTATTTTTCTTTTTTTATTTTTTATTGTAAATATTATTATTATTGCCATTGCTCTCTCTTTTTTATTACTATTATTTTTTATATAAATATATAAACAATTTGATTAAGAAATAAGAGCATAAATGATTGAAGAAAAACATGATTTTGGATATTCTAATGCCTTTTTAAATTTTGTATTCTCAACAAGCATTATTTACAGATTCAATAACATGGAAGAAAATGTTTTCTTTTCAAGGCATTGGATGCTAAAAATAATTATTTATAGAGTTAATAATCATAAAAAAATGATCTTAAAGTGGTTTAAAATGTTTTTTATTGAAAATAAGAAACAAGCATGGAATGGGAGAAAATTTAGGAGAGAATAGGAGATAGAATATTTATTGAAATATATTTCTATCTTAAATTGGTAAGAGACATGGAGGAGAATAGATTGGAAAACAATATTGGTAACACACTTTGAAATAATTTGGAGCTAAGAAACTGAATAAGAGATAAATGCTACGAATTAGTTTAAATAAATGAATTTAGGAGTGGAGGAAAGCATGACTCTGGAGATCAGTGAAAGTAAAGCTATGACCCAGTTTTACAAATAAGGTAGGAGTGGAGGAAAGCATCATACTGGAGAAGAGTTAAAGTAAACTGGGAACCAGTTAAAAATAAAAATAAGAGTTAGGAGTGGAGGAAAGCATATGCAAACAGTTAAAGCAAAGCTGTGAACCAGCCAAAATATTGAGTTAGGAGTGGAGGAAAGCATACGCAAACAGTTAAAGCAAAGCTGTGAACCAGCCAAAATATTGAGTTAGGAGTGGAGGAAAGCATATGCTGGGTAACAGTTAAAACAAAACTGTGAACTAGCCAAAAATAAAAAGTTAGGAGTGGAGGAGATTATACCTGGGGATCAATTGAAATAAAGTTGAGAACCAGTTAAAAATAGGAGTAGGAGTGGAGGAAAGCATTGCTGGAAGGCAACTACTTGAGTTGTGAACCAGTTCTCTAATAGATTTAGGAGGAGTTAAGGAGAAGGTTGGTGTGCAGTTAAAATAATACTGTGAACCAGCCAAAATAATTAAGGTAAGGAGTGGAGGAAAGCATTGCTGGAAAACAGCAGATTAGGATGCGAACCAGCTAAAAAATAAATTTAGGAGGAAGTGGAAGAGATTTTATTGGAGAATAGGAGCTAAACTGTAAACCAGTCTAAATAAATAGAGATAGGCGTACTAGAAAATACAACTGGGAAATAGACATTTAAACTATGAATTAGCTAAAAATTAGACTCAATAGAATATGAGAATAAATTTGAAATAAACAAAATAAAGTATTGTGGAAGTAACAAACTATAGAAGGAAATGTTGATTGTTTATGAAATGACTTTAAGAGAAGAGGAAAATACTTTTTGTCAAGATTATGGTTATTAGATGTCATTTAAGTGAAGTAAAATAGAGATTTGTGGTAATGGGTCTTTTTTTAAAACAAAACAAAACAAAACTTTATTGATTGTTAAAAAACATTTAAAACATACAAGTTTCTCTCAATCAAGAAACAAATTTACATATACAGTATATAAACTTCACCTATTGACTGATTTCCGTTATTCTATATACATATATTATATATATTATATATACATATATACAAACATACAGTAACATATTTCATATTCTATCCCTCTGACAGTGCTGTTTTTAATTATATTAATTTCTTCTAAATTTCATTTCTACCCATTTCCTTTCCTCTGGTTTATCCATTGGTACCATCTATTCCATATTGCATAATATTTTGAGTCCTTATCCTGTAACTCTAAAGTTAGTTTGTCCATTTTTGCACATGTGTATATTTTTTGTATTAGTTCCTGGTCAGTTGGCAGTTGGTCGCTTTTCCAAAATTGTGCTAGCGCTAATCTAGCCGCCGTGATTATATGAAGCGTTAGATATTTTATGTCATTTTGGATGCTCTTTTTAATCATGCCTAATAGAAAAATCTCAGGTTCTAATTCAATTTCATAATCTGTTATTTCTCTTATCCATGTTCTTACCTTGTTCCAATATTCCTCAATTACCGGGCAGAGCCACCAAGCATGGTAAAAAGTTCCCTATGTTTTCCTGCACTTCCAACAGGTCGGATTTACATTTGGGTACATTTTCGCTAATCTTGCGGGGGCCAGATGCCATCGATACCACATCTTATAATGATTTTCTTTGTAGGCTACCGATTTTGTCATACTGTAGTTGTTTTCCCACACTCTTTTCCATTCTTCTAGCTGTATACTGTGCCCAATGTTTCTCGCCCACGCTATCATCTGCCCTTTAACCAATTCTTCTGCCAAATCATATTCAAGTAAGTATTTATAAATTTTCAAAATTAATTTCCCTTCTTTAGATTCTAATAGTTTATCCAGTCTGTTTTGTTTCAAATCTATTCCCCCCTCCTCCTGATCTTTCCTGTATCTTATTTTTATTTGTGAGTAGGGCCACCAGTCTATTACTATTCCTTGTTCTTTTAATTCTTCCCTAGTTTTTAATTTACCCTGTATATCTAATATTTCTCTGTATCGTAATATTTTTTGTTTTGATAATATATTGGGGTGGGTGATTGCTTCTATTGTCGACAACCAACCGGGGACTTTTATGTAGTGTTTGCGTTGGATTTGTTGCCATGTATTAATTAAAGATTTCCTAATGGTGTGATTGTTAAAATGTTTATATGTCTTATTTCCAGAGTTCCAAATAAAGGCATGCCATCCCTTCATTAGGTCATGTCCTTCCAGATTTAACAGTCTTTGATTATCCAGAGTTATCCATTCCTTGATCCATAGTAAGCTTGCAGCCTTATAATATTTTTGCCATGCCGGAAAACCGAAACCGCCTCTAATTTTATCATCTTGTAATATATTTAATTTTATTCTCGATTTTTTCCCCTCCCACACAAATTTTGTAGTTATTTTATCCAAATTGTCAAAAAATTTCTTATCCAGTTTTATTGGAATCATTTGGAATAAATAAAGGAGCCTTGGAAGTATATTTGATTTTATCGCTGCTATCCTCCCCAGCAAAGACAACCTTAGTTTCCCCCATTTATCTAAGTCTTCTTTGATTTTCTGGACTGAAGGTTCATAATTGTCCTGTTTTATTGTTGCTGTTCTAGCCGTCAAATGTATCCCTAGATATTTCACTTTTTTAACTGCCTGTAATTGTGAGTCATTTACTAATTGCTCTACTTGTTCTGTTGTCATATTTTTTGTTATCAATTTGTTTTTTCTT